CCCAGGACGCTGCCATGTCCACATCCGTGACCTCGCTGTCCGTGGTGTCACCGAGACGCTGTGTCCATGTCCTCCATGTCCGTGGTGTCACCCGCGCAGACGAGACGCTGTGTCCATGTCCTTGCTCTCCATGGTGTCACCCTCGAAGACGAGGCGCCATGGCCATGTCCTCGCTGTCTGTGCTGTCACCCGCGCAGACGAGACACTGTGTCCATGTCCTCACTGTCCGTGGTGTCACCCACGAAGCTGCCATGTCCACATCCGTGCCCTCGCTCATGTCCGTGGTGTCACCCGCGCAGACGAGACGCTGTGTCCATGTCCTTGCTCTCCATGGTGTCACCCTCGAAGACGAGGCGCCATGGCCATGTCCTCGCTGTCTGTGCTGTCACCCGCGCAGACGAGACACTGTGTCCATGTCCTCACTGTCCGTGGTGTCACCCACGAAGCTGCCATGTCCACATCCGTGCCCTCGCTGTCCATGGTGTCACCCTCGAAGACGAGGCACCGTGGCCATGTCCTCGGTGTCCGTGCTGTCACCTGCGAAGATGAGGGCACCTGGCTGTGCCCTTGGTGTCCATGGTGTCACTCGGGAAGGTGAGAGGCCCCAGCCATGTCCTCGGTGCCCACGGTGTCACCCTCGAAGACGAGGCGCCGTGGCTGTGCCCTCGGTGTCCATGTTGTCACCTATGAGGATGAGGGCACCTGGCCGTGCCCTCAGTGTCCACGTTGTCACCTGTGAAGATGAGGGCACTTGACTGTGCCCTCGGTGTCCGTGTTGTCACCTGTGAAGACGAGGGCACCTGGCTGTGTCCTCGGGGTCCGTGGTGTCACCTGCGAAGACGAGGGCACCTGGCCGCGCCCTTGGCGTCCACAACGTCACCCTCGAACATGAGGGCACCCGGCCACGTCCTCGGTTTCCCCCTCGTAGACGAGGCGCCGCGGCGTCCCCCGCGAAGGCCGCGCGCGTCCCGGCGCGTCATACCTCGGACTCGAGGCTGGAGAAGTGGGCGGAGCCGCGGCGGGCGCCCAGCTCG